ACAGTTCTCTCTTGATTACCATTGTTGTTTTACCAAACATATATATAGCGGTGGCACCTGGAAGCCAATTAGGTGCCATACACTCGTATACAAAAATTACCCATAGATTCCAACTAAATAGAAAAGACATGACATGTAAGTGGAAAAAAAATTGAGCCAGGGCAGGAAAGGTGATTACAAGTTTAGTAGTCAATGCCACTCCTAGGATAGACCTATGCAGCTTCCCTAAAACACCTGGAGTGTCACCCTCTAGCACATCCTGCCTCTCTTGTTCACCCCGTGTGCCAAATCTGGAGACAAGGTGGTGAAAGCTGCTCTGAGGGCACTTCCCTCCACTACTACCCTGGAGACTTGCCTCTAACATAGTCAGACTGACTTCACTACATCATTTCCAGGCTTGGCACATGCAGAGTAGGAAGAGGTGGACAAAGTGAGACACAGCAGTGGTATCCTTCTGCCCCCCTCCCAAACGTGGGGTATAAACAGAGACGCAGTCAGTCAGGAGCAGCAATTATAACTAGAGCTAAGCTGGAAATAGTTTTCTTGTCCCCCAAAAATGTTAAATTACAAAAGTTTTTCATCTTCCACATGAGGACAAATCTGAAACCTATTAGAATGACCTGGTTCAGAGCAGAAACTTGAACCTGGATCTCCAACCCCCTAGCCAGGGGCTCTTATGGCCTGTGACTGCCAGGTTCAACAACTGAAGTTATTTTATTTCATGTAATGAACTAACTAGTCATTGTACTTACTCCTTTCATAGCATAGGGGTCAGGATGGTGCCCTGCAGGGAACTGCACCTGGAACTCCCATGGGAGTGTCATGACCAAGAGGCTATAGAGTATCTCTCCCACCATAATATGCACCTAAGAAACCTACTGGTGTTCAGAGGATGGTGTTATCTAAGGGTCCTTACTGGATTTAATCACCACAGTTTTAATCACAAGAGCTGGCATCAGATTGTAGTTTGTTCTATGTATCTAAGCAGAGGTGCTCTTTGAGGAGTGGCTCAAAGGTGCTGGTCAAAACTGGTGGAACTGAAGAAGCACATTTTCTTCAGTTTTTCCCTGATACAAGCGGCCTGGACCACCTGCATTTCTCCGCAATACATGCCTTATGCTATTCTACTCCTGTCTTCTCAAACAAGCTAGTTAAATTGGTTATGGCTTCTTCATTTTAAAACGTATGCCTTGACTAGTACAGCATGCTCCTGTTATCACATTAGCTGGAATTTCCCTGTGCTCTGTTTTACTTTCAGTAGGTTTCAGATCCTGCTTTGTTTGTGTGAAGGTCCAGAGGCCCATATGGTGCCCACAGTGCAAAATTTACACAAACATGCTCCAAAGTGCTTAGCTGTTTCTGGATGTTAAGCCTGCCCTGTTCTCTTCTCTGAAGCATCTCACTACTGTCACTGTTTAGCGCTTCATGTGCTGCAGCTATAGGGCTAGGGACAAACATTACACTAACTGGTTTAAGTGATCAGAAACTGGTTTAAATCTGTAACAGAACAGACATTCAGTGTGCATAAACCAGTTTGAAAATGGCTAAAATAGGTTTGAGACAAACATGTTGAATGTAGCATCAGACTTAACTGATTTAGGTTAAACTGGTTTATGCAATGTTGGTCCCAGGCCCCTTCTTGGTTTAAGTTAGACCAGAGCCCTCCAGCATCCCAGATGTTTTGTAGCTCTGGGTGGGGCTCTCTGCTGGAGCAGAGCAGGGTTGGCCCCTCTCCTTCCTAGCCAGAGCACTATTATTGGTTTGACTGGCTGAGGGACTGCAGAAGCTACCAGGCTTCTCCCTTCCCCTCCCTCCTTCCCCACTTGCTGCTCAAGCAGGGATCTCCCCTCCTGCTCCTCTCCCATGGCAGGGACCCCAGTGCTGGCACCCAACATCTGGTAATGCTCCCTTCCTCCCCATGCTAGCTAATGTTGAGAGGTGTTTGCGTGGGTCTCCAATTTTACTGGAATAAAGGCAGACAGCTAGTGGCTTGCAAATGCAAATGAACCCTGCAAATAAAAAAAGCTTGAAACTAATGGGAGAGTTGTTTTATTTTGTAGGGCTTGATGGGCTGATAAACTTTGTTCTGACAAACAACCTGCTGGGTGCAATCTGTCAGTCTTTGGGAAGGGGGGGAGGCAGAGAAAGGTGTTAGAAATGACCTGTGTTGCAGACAGTTTGAAGAAGCAGGGAGACAGAGACTGAAAACCTCAGTATCAACAGGTGCAGGGTCTGGCAACACTCCCACCCCTTGAGCAGCCAGTGGGGAAAAGCCTGGGACTGCAGGCAGGGTTTGGGTTTACACCCCTCCCTAATTAGTGTCCTGCCAGGGCCTGGCCTTTCCCCATACCCCTTCAGCTCAGTACTATGGAAGGGAAGGGAGGGATGCTTTATCACCCCCAGCTTCTAACCTGAGCCACTACAGGCATGTGCCTGCATTTCTGGAATGAAAAGGGAATGTCTATCCACCTCCAAATCAGCTCAAGCTTTGCAGATTAGACTAAACTGCAAAGATTGAATTTTTTCAGGCTCAGGCTTTTGAATGTCTATCCCTAGACTAGGAGTCTGGCAGTTCCATCCAGATCATGCAGATTTTTTTTCATGTCACTCTAGAATAATTTGGCAGAATACATCTTTGAATGTGGCAACATCAGAGAGACATAGAAATATTTTTTATCCAATTTGCAACATAAAATGAGGTATACCACAGGCAACACAAACTCAGGTATACCACAGTAAGACTTGTATACATCTTGCTATATACAGCAACCTCATTGCCAGACTGCTCTGTAGCACTTTGTTTTTGCTGTTGGAAGGCTTTGTTACACAATAAGGTAAACTCAAAATTAAATCAGAATTATCAGTCTGAGCCCTAATAGCACAAGAACGGATAGGACACTGCATATCTGAGAATTATAGAGATGTTGTCATCTTCTCTTAGCTTTTGGGTGTCCCAGACTCACCACACCTACTCCATGTACCTGGAAAACAGTGGGATTATTTGAAATGCTGATGATGCTGAAGCACCGGTGAAGCATTATGTGCTTTGTCAAATCTGTCAGCATGCAAGTGGCCATACCATGCAATTGGGTTAAGTGCTCTAATCAGCAAAGCCTTCCCATAAAGAGTAGAATTGAGGTTTCTAGCCTGTGGGAGTGCCCCAGTGTTGCAAGCATATTCATCCTTTGTTTACTAGTTGCAAGGCCCAGCAAAGCAAGCAGAACCCTGTCCCATAGACTTTATAGACAAATTTTCCCTTTTACCCTGCCTCCCAAATAATATTCAATCTATTTCCTTCTGTAGGCTGAGAGTATTGAAATAAAAAAGCAAGAAAAAGTTGCATAGATGTCTGTTCAACAGTTTAAATAAGCATGAATATAATATTAACAGAGCCATGGAAGTCACTGGGCTTCTTTATGCTAAAAAGCCTGATCCAAGTCCACTGAAATCTTCATTGCTCTCTGTGGACTTTGAATCAGAGCCTGAAAATTTTATTAAATTGAAACCATAGTAGTAATGTCTAGCTCTTCTCGAGCACTTTTTACCAGTAGACTTTACAGCACTTTGCTGAGGAATTAAGTTGTTTTTTTCTATTTTACACTTGGGAATAACCAAGGCACAGAAAAGTGAAGTGCCTTGCTAAAGGCCACCTGTAAGGCTAAACTAAAAATAGAACCAAAGGGCATTTTTAAACGTGCTCTGAGATGGGGGCATTTTAATTAGAGTGGCTCTTGGGAGCTGCTCTAATTGAAATGCCCTCAGTGTCTTGTGTATTCAGTGTCCCATGTTTCAAAATGGCAGTGAATGCTTTAAGTAAACCTTTTTTGACTAGTTTAGTTAAAGCACCCCCATCGTCATTTTGACATGCAGGGGCAGTGAATATGAGACACTGCAGCACACTGGAGCTAACCAGAATGCGCCAGAGCACATGTATAGGTGCCCATAGGCACTAAACTCCCAGTTCATGATGTCAGAGACCATCTGTCCCTCCTGTATTTAGAACCTATTTCCAATGTTTTTGTGCTGTGCTGAAAACCAGACTGTAGCTAAAGAAAATAAGTGAAACTAGCATGTTTGCCAAAACACCGTGTGTGTTCATGGTTAAGCTATGATAAGTGTTTCTATCCAAATCTGAGATGACCATAGAAATTGACTTGTATGGTGATCTGTTACAAACCTGAAACTTAGACATACAGCCACAAAGTATGTTTCATTCAAAACTCTTGTTTTTTTTAAAAAACCCCCACAAACAATGATCCCTGGGGATTTCTCCCTACTCATCCTATTGCCAATTTTGTCTGGTTTACTTTTTCATGTGGTGGGATCAAAGATTTTCCTTTTTGAAAGAGAAAGTTCCTATTTTCTAAAGTTAATTACAATATAGGAAAACAAAACATTTTTACAGATTTTTTTAAATGGTCCATTTTTAAAAACGGTAGAACAGCACTGTTTTCAGTTTCTCTCAGCAATTGTCATGACTTTTTTTGGTGACTATTTTTAACCAGCTTCCCTCTAATCTTATTTGTTATAAGTCCTAAAGTTCATCAACCAGCTAGAAAACCTGGTATACTTTTGCATAACTTCCACATCATCTATCTATGCATTTGATAATAAATGTGAATTTGAGTAGTTTGACTGAATTCCACTTTGAGGTTTGGGATTTGCTTCAGTCATATAACCAAAAATTAAACCCAGGACCTGCAGACCTACATGAACTTCAAGCAAAGACAGCATCTGAGTAAATCCCAAACAGGCAAAACCTACAGATGCTCCTGTGATCACAGTTCTTTTGTATATAATCTACATACCATACTTAAAGCAAAGACATCTTTAACATATGAGTCTCAGGAGAACATATGATACAAAAGTTCAGCGAACAGAGCATTACAAGACACTTCCTCCCAATGCCTGTGAATTCCAGTATGGTTTTTGTATGTGTTGATGATGTATAATTTTCTTTCCAGCATCTAGAAAACTGAGGACATACTGTTGCCTTTTACCTTAGCAGAGGAAGAGGAATCCTGCTGATATTTTTGTTGTAGGAGGGAAAACTCCTTACAGTAGACTGCAGTTGGGCAGATGACCTATGTGCAGAAGTTTCAGGATTTTATCATAAATGACCACAAAACAGATTTATATATCATAGTCTAGTGAAGGAGGACTACACTGTGACTGGACTTTGCCCTGTGACTTTTCCTTGCCTACCCACCAATTATCCCCTGTATGATACCTGTCAGACTGAAAACTGGCCATTCCTCTCTCTCAGTGCATCAGAAATTTATTGTGAAAAAAAATGGAGGAGAGGGAGGTCATAGGGAATAGTCAGTTGTGGCTAAGATGCTCTCTAATGCATCAAGAGAATTTGATACCGGCATCAATGCTAGTGGCAATGAAAGTGAACAAGCATATAGAAAACAAGCAAGGTGGTATTAATACTATTGCCAGAGTTCATTGCACAAATGACTTAATCTGTCACTAAAATAAAGGTCTGGAAAGACTGCTCACATCAAAAGAAAGTACATTTTGATGTTTCTTTCCCCTTCAGAAAGCAGCACGAGGTAAGTGAGCTTCTGACATCCCAGTAATTCAAAGAAGAGTTTCGCATCCCTGCTGTGACTCTGAGTGACAACATAATAGACTTATTTTAAAAAATGGCTCAGTCCTAGGCCTTGTATATTTTATGCCTCCTGACAACCAGCACCAAAAACAACCTTAGGTTTCCATTATAGTTCTCAATGTGGATGAAAGCAGATGGTTAAAAGTCCTTATTACATGACTAAATTTACTGTGATCACCCAACCAGACTTTTGGAACTGGTTCAATAATAGGGCTAGTCCAAAGACAGCAAAAAAAGAAGCTAGCGTTTCAAAATAGTTTTTGTTCTGCCTATACATATTTTCAATTATACAAGTTATACAATTTTTTAATCAAGGATCTTTTGGGAGGTGAACTTCTCTCTCTTTCTTCTTTCTTCTCTTCTTCTAAATTACCACTCAAAGGAGGAAAACTGAAAATAAGTTAATCATCTTGAAAAATATGACTTATTGACAAAAGAAGAAAAATTCTGTTTTCAAAAATGGCCTGACACTGTAATCTCATCACTTCATTCAGTTTTCAACTGAAAACCATCTCCCAAAAATGACCAACCAGATTGCACATTGGCATAAAAGCTAGATCAGAAGTCTTTACTCAGTAGAAACAGGAGATCGGGCTTTGGGATTCTTGTTTGACTCTTGTTTGGCTTGCATATTTCACATTATTTACCTAAATGTTCCCTGGGCTGACACATAGGGGCAGGTTTTGGGGGCTCCATGCAAAAGGTTCAGACCCCTACCACTCAAAGGGAGAAAATGAAATAAGTTAATCATCCTGCAAATTACAACTTACTGACAAAAGAAGAAAAAAAATCTGTTTTCAAAAATGTTGAACTTTTTGGCTTGAACAAAAAGTTTTTTGTTGAACAAACTTTTCAATGAACAGCTATGCCACTTTTCATTGAATGGCTATACTACTTTTCATTGAACAGCTATGCCATGTGACCATAGCAGAACAGGACCCCAGTCAGTCAAGCCCCCTACAATTGCATATTAGCATCTTCTGGGCAAGGAGAAGAAATTAATGTAGAATAACTAGATGTGCTGATCAAACAGCTGGGTTATGTTGGCACAGGACATGATGCTAAGAGCTAGAATATTTATTGGAATAGCTTGGTGGTAGAGAGGAAGGAATCATATCCTGATCTATCAAGTGATTGTACTGGATGATTGCTTTATAAATAACAATAAATCAAGGCAATTAAACTGGAAGGCTTTAATTCCCCTCTTCTCAAACAGGGAAGTAGAATAATGATTGCAGTGCAGTATAAAAGAAAACCTAGTGGTTCCTGGCTAGATGATCTTGCTCTTCTGTTCAAGGTTGTATTTGGGGGGCAGGAAAGAATTCCCCTACTCTGAGATCAGAATGACAAGGATTCTGAAGGGTTTTGCTTTTTTCTGTGATATGAGGTTCTCTTTGGTGCTTCTGAATATATATGAATATATATAAAGCTATTATATCTGTCTCATTACAGTGGCAGGGAATTGGCAATGCTCTTGTCTCCTTTACTTTCCTGTATAGCATACTGAAGGAGGTTCTTGGTGTTTCTGGTTCTGTGCCTTGCAGTGTGTATGTCTGGAGAATTTGTGGGTAAATGGTGTCCTGACAACACTGGGAAGCGGCCTCTAAAGTCTCTTCCAGTCTTATTGTCCTATAAATGTTGTCTTGTGAGTAAAACAAAAGAAAGTGCCAAAACATTGAGCTCTAATAAGCAGATTAGCAATGGTGGTCTCTCTTAACTTGTACTATGAGCAGTCCTTAGCATTTGCTGGTCTATCATATACCTTTGTTTTTGCAGAGGAAGTATTTTTGGCTGGAGCATGGAGGTTAGGAGTAGGGGAAAGGGTACTCCTTAAAAAAATGCAGAGTCGGACCAAAGAAGGCTTTTGCAAACTGATCAAAGTTTTATAGCTACGTGTTTTGGTTTGGGGCTGTGGGGGAGAGATTCAACATTTTCAAAATGTAACTTTTAGATCATTCTTTATTTGAAATAATATTACATTTCTAAGTTCTACCAAAAATAAAACCCACTCCCCCTCAGGAATGAAATATTTTGTTTGATCCTGGAAAAGAAGGTAAAGTCCTTCCCTGTTCCCCTTCTTTGTACTCCATGTCATGCCTACAATCTTTTGAGTATGAAGTCATGCTGTCCTTAGGCTCTGCCTACTTCACCAGTCATCTCAGTTCCTGAAACTGTACCCCAGTCTTTGAGCCCAGGTTCCACAAAATACCAGCAGTTTGTGAGAGTTCCAGTTTCCATTCTTTGTGGAGCTAAAGAGGAACACTCTTCTATATGCTGAGTCCTAGCCTATTCCATTTTGAGGTTGACCTCATTAAACCCTCAGCACAAAATTCCCTAGACCAAGGGTCAACACCCTGTGTCCCACTGACCAGATCTGGCCGAAGTGATTGAATCTGGCTCATAAAATTGTGGTGTCTGCACCAATTTAGCAGCAGGTGATGTCAGAGCAGCAATATGGCAGCAAGCTGACCCAGTAGGGGTCAGTGGCAGCAGCAGCAACACTGCAGCAGAGGTGGAAGCTGCTTCAGAAGCAATGACCCACCTTCAGACCTAGCTCTGTTAAAGCATCTCACAGCTCCTAAACATTTGCTGACTCCTATCCTAAACCACTTTCTCTGCTCCAGAGCCTCTGACTCTCCTTGTGACACCAGGATCTTCCATCTCTTCTAGCCTTCTGTACAGCCTCTACAGCCATTCACCCTCTCTGGAGCTATCTAGCCATGAATCACCAAACTGAAGAGTCCCTAAATCCACCAGCATCTTGGACCACACCATTTTTCTCCCAGGACCTGCAGCTTTTTTAATTTGAGGGAGAGTGGAGCCAGAATGGGTAGCAAAGTGGACCTTAAAGTGACCTCTGCCTAAGTCTTGCTTGAAGTGCTCTTGCAATATCAAGTTTTTTCAAACTACATCACCAACTCAGACATTTTTTGTCACATTTTTGCATCTGCCAGTGGATTGCAAACTCAGCTACTTGTACTCCTCTGCTCCTAAGACTGCAGTTTCAGGGAAAACTCACTCACAGGAACTGTTACCATGAAATATTCCATTTCATGGATGATATTAGGGACACTAATATCATCATCTGCTCATGACTGCCAGGCAACAGCATTCAGCAAAATAAGATTGAGTCAACATTTCCATAAATTCCAGATGTTGATAAATGTGGGAAGACATTATGATTTGAAAACAGAGAATGTGGATTTCTCATACCACAGATTAAAAATAAAAGAACACTGAAACTACTGTATAACTGCTAGCCTAGTAAGCAGTAAACATCATGCTCTCAGAAGTTAATAATTATCTGGTTATAGCTGTCATCTACACTATAGTATTTTGAAATGATCCAAAAGCTTCAAGAGACATTGTCAACTTCCAGTATGACTGACAATATTTTGCAAAAAGGGATGTACTGTTTACATGGAATTTGTCATGTACTGCCAGTACAAACTGTAGAAATGATATTCCCAGTGAAACTGCAACATGCAATCATTAATATTTTTAATTGCAAGAATTAAAGCCATTATCAAACTTATGAGTTAGTTTGCTGTATTAAAAACAATCAGTACTAGCTCACAGCAGGGAAGATGAATGGGATATTGTCTACTGGTTTGAGAAATAGCTTAAGAGTTGGGAGATTGAGATTCAGCTCCTGGCTGGGCCACAGAGCTTCTCTGCATTTGAGGTGGTCAAGTGTTCTGAGCCTTCATTTCTGATTCTGTCAACAGCAATTGTTCTTTTCAAAGCCTTTCTAGCCAGCTAACCTGTTTGCTTACTTTCTATCTCCATTTTTAACTACAGAGAAAAAATGTGAAAATTAGGGAAAAACCCCTACTTCCACTAAAAGAGTTGTCAGCAAAAACATTTTAGGTTTCTTTATGCATTGTAGTTTCCTGAAAAAATGTGGAAATTTGCTCAAAATGATATATTGGTCAGTGTCTTTTCACTGAAATTTTTTTTCTATGAAAAAGAAATTGATCTTCACACTTCTAATTTTATTAGAGAAGTGAGTTTAGGTTTAGATATGACAAATGTAACCAGATGCCTCAAAACTAGTATCAGTATTACCTGCCATGGCTTATTCCTGCAGAGGAGCGGAGTCAAAAGAATCTGAATGGAAAACTGTTTCATCCACATAAACGTTAGGGATTATGCTAAAACTTCAATGAAATTAACTTCCCATTTGTTTTCCCCTTTACGATCAAAAGCTGCATGCAACACTGTATTCTTAGGGCAGAGAGGATAATTCAGTTTCCAACCCCAATAAGTCTTTGGCTTTTCTGCTGAGGCCCCCCAGTTAAGTACAAAACTGAGACCAACCCATCACATATAGGTCAGCAAGCAGATGGCAACTTCTTGGTGGAAATAAAAGAGGCTGTCTCGGTATGGCTGCACTGCATATGCAGTCCTCTAAGACAACAGAAAGCAGACCCAGAGATGATTTAGCCTGTAAGCAGAGGACACTTGTGTG